ACCATCCATTGGGATTTGTATGTTTTTCTTACACTAAGCAGATCCTGCAGCTTTAAAAAGGTCAAAGCACAGGCATGAACAGACCCTTAGGCATAGGGACTCTGTTATGCTGGAGGCTGAGACCAGGGGTGGTTACACTGGTTACAGGGCCTTGTTAGATTTGAACAATAAATGCTTCAGGGAGCTGACTGAACAATGAACTCTTCTCCACAGACATGGATTACAGACCATGAAGAGGACATGTGCAAAAGACACAATGTGATTGTTTTATTTTGCCCCTGCTATTGAATGTCTGTGCTTCAAAATCTTATTCTTATTTTTTGTTATGTCTCTCTTGTATTACATACTGTATCGCCATATTGCATTTACATTTACTCATTTGGTAGCAGTTTTAATCCAAAGCGATTTACAAGTGAGGGACAACACTAAAGCTCCATTGCAGTAGGAGACCTTGGTGTAAGTACTAAGTACCACATCTCTTCAATAAGTGCAAAGAGATCAGGTAAAGAAGTAAACTGTAAGTGCATAGTAAATGCTTGCATGTTAGGGTGTCAGAGGTGTTAGGAGAGGAGGTGCTCTCGGAAGAGATGAGTTTTCAAGAGATTCTTGAAGATAGAGAGGCATACCACTGCTCTGATATCATTTTGTAGCTTGTTCCACTATCGGGGAACCACAGAGGAGAACACTCTGGACTGAGAGGAATGCCTTGTGTAACGCGGGGACGGTAAAGCCAGGTGACATTCTTTGGAGGAACGCAGTGGCCGAGATTGAGCATAAGCCTCTATGACTGAGTTCAAGTAGATGAGTGCAGAACCAGAAGTCACTCTGAAGGCAAGCATTAGTGACTTGAATTTGATTCAGGTGGCCATGGGTGGCCAGTGCAGGTCAATGAGTAGTGGAGTGGATAGAGTGGATGTGCCTGTTTAAGTTGATCGAAGACCAGGCGTGCTGCTGCATTCTCGACCACCTGTAAGGATCTCACTGTGTGTGAGGGGAGGCCCGCCTGAACGGCATTGCAGTAGATGAGGCGAGAGGTGATCATGGCCTGGACCTAGAGTTGGGTTGCGTACTAGGTCAGGTAAGGTCATATTTTTCTGGTGTTATATAGTGCAAAGCAATCGGGAGACTGATGAAACATGGTCAGAGAACATCAAACATGACACCCCGGTTTCATGCGAGCTTGGTTGGGGTAAGATCGAGTATTATATTATCAGATATTATATCAGATTTTTTATGTTGACATACACATTGTCTGCTATTATTTGTGTCATTATGTATTATTTATTCACCATGATTTAGCTCAACTAGCTAACTTTGTCTGTTATCAATACCTTTGTGTTTATGTAGTGTGCATACAGTTTGTGTGGATCTGGGTGAAAAAGATCAATATGTACAGGAGTGGGAGATGAAATCTGAAGCTTATATGACACCTTTAAAGTGCTGTTTGTAAAATTTAATCACTGCCAAATTCATAACGGTGTTACCTGATGAATAAAGTCTCATTGCTTTTGTTCTGTATGGAAAACAAGATTAATGCAATGATCAACTTAGTATTCAGAGCATGAACACAGAGTCACCTATAAGCATCACTGCTGACACCACTCCCATTGAGTTCCCATCAAGTATGATTAATGCTGTCTTTGTTTGTCAAAGTCAGGCTATCAAGTCCATTTTTGAACATGCCTCTTGTTATAAGACTCACCAGAGAACTGGCTAATGTGATCTAAATTACATTTAAGCAGCATTAATTTTGTTCACTTACTTATTCAGAGAGCTACAGTTTTCACTATTATTGTTGCATATGATTAAAACAAGGACTATGTTATAATAATAATAATATATATATTATATATATGTGTGTGTGTGTGTGTGTGTGTGTGTGTGTGTGTGTGTGTGTATATATATATATATATATATGATGTCCTGGCTTTTCTCTCTAAGTGAAACTTGAAACTGCATTCAGCCCTTCTCAATTAGATTGCTTACCCTGTTGCTCCTACTGAAAGGGTCTGCAAGAAGCAGAGGTTTGTTCTTTAGAAGGGAGGCCATTTGTTTCAGAGGTGAATTTAACCTTCCTGAAATGCCCTAACGTCAGGTAGCAATGTTCGTTCAATGTTAAAACCCATGCAGCTTCGTTTGAAATCATCCTTAGTTATTATTTATCAAGAATTTAACACTCAGCTAATTTGCTGTATCAGGAATTTGTTGTTGTGATTGGATCAGATTTGATATGATAATATGAGCAAACAAAGCGACACCTGTCATCCTATTTTCTTTTAATATTTGCTACATCCTGATTGCTGCGTGGACCATATGAGCCCCGCTCACTTCAAACCAGAAGGAAAAGCAACAGAAATCTTTCAACTAAAATAACAAAAACTCCTCAGCATCATATCCAGCTCTTTCACTTCCATTGGGGAAATATCATTTGCTCTGTTTGTAATTATTTGAATTTCAATGTAATGGCATATTGTATTTGTTCAGTGCCCAATGTTAATAAAGGAATGGTTCACAAAAATGCAATTTTGTCATTCTACAGGCAAAGACAGCCAGTCAAAACACTGAGTGATGACATGAAACAGTAAGGAACCTGCTGCAGATTTGTTTCAACCTTCTCGAGAACTACAGAAAATACGAAGGACAGAAATGAACAAAGAGCAAACTCATGCAGTGCAATCAAAAATAAATGATTGCACTGTGGGTGTGAAAATCTAATCTTACCGTATTATTCTTCTGCCTCTCACAGTAACAAGCAGATGATGCCTTTATATTAAGCAGTCAAACCCCAGAGTGCACTAAAACAACAAGATGTAATGGTGTTAGAGCTTTGAAGATTTCTTATGGCCACTTCTGTTTTTGGATAAGGCTGAGGGCTGCACCACCTCATCTGCTTCGTATTATGAAAAATTGATGTGCAAACTTGAATGTTTCAACTGACACAATAATGAGTGGAATCTGGCTAGGGCCTGTTTGTATAAACAAATTAAGCTCCTTACAGTGAGGATGTAGAATTCCTTGTCTACCAGGCCACCAGACAGAATTTGCTGTAACCACCTTAAATTATGGGCTGGGGCAAGTTGCCATAGGGAAGTCAATGAAGTGACACCAGTATACTAGTAAGAAAAAATGTATTTTTCACTTCCCCTGTTTCTTTATGTGTTTGAGTTACTTGATGAGAAAAAGAAGAATATTGTGGTTATGCCTTCCTTAAATGAATTCATGTGTTGCACATACACGGTTGTGCAAGCACAGTGACATGAAGTGAAAACCGGAGACAAAAAATGTCATTTTTGATAGATATAGTCTGTGAATTGAAACTCACTGTGGGAAATATTAAGTGTCTTTGTTTTGCACTACATCACGTATTGCACATCCCAAATGCCAGCCTGAACTTGTTTCTGAGAAGATATAAATAAAAATAAACTGTAAAAAGAATCTACCTGTTTGTGTGTTCAGATGAGCAGTGCAAATTAATTAAACACTCCCTGGCCACTTTATTAGGTACACCTACACAATCTCACGCAATCCAGTACAACAGCTCTGCCACAAAGCGCTGGCCACTTTTTGTTAAAGCTTTAGAAGGTGACACAAAGGTATTAATTCAACTATATGTTTATTATTGAGGTCGTCGTGGTGTTAGTCGTGGTGTTGTACTGGACTGCATTATATTGAAATGTGTTTCTAAAATTCTTCCCCCTCATGTTTGAGGTTGTTGCCTAGAGTTGAAGGGAAGTGCAGAGTTGGGTTAGCCCTAACCCTAACCCCGCTATTGCACAAGAAACACAAATGTGCACTGAAGTCTGTTAGTTACAGTAGTGAAAATTAAATATCCTGTTGTGTTGCTAATTAAATATTAAATCTAATGATAAAGCACTTTGGGTTTGTGGTTCAGAAATGCATTGAGCCTTGGACAAATTGAGTTTGATTATAAAGACTCACCGTTTCATTAGAGACACACTTAATAACACAGTGAGCAGCAGGAGAGCAGCAGTTCAATGGAAATCTTAACGGATTAGAAATGATTGCTTATTGCATATGGGAAGGGAAAAGAAAAATGGTCCATCTACTAAGTACTGTTTTGTATGTGTCACAATACTCAACTCAATGCTAAAATAACTTCTAGTCTAAGAATAGCTTGTCTATATAATGCATTTAGACCTAGACTGCATTATGAGACTATGAGTCGGAACAGCTAATCAATGAAACATATTGATTTCCAAAGGAGTCTGGCTACAGCCTGACTTACCTCATTAAAAGCTGAGTCTGGAGAAAATGGATCTCTAATATCTTGGGCCTAATGCCACTGGATGATGGACTGCTGCTTCGGGTAATTCTTTTCAAACTTGACTGCATTTTAACATTTGCAGATATGTATGGTGTCAATTCACTTTTTCGAGTGGCGCTTCTTCAAATTGCCCCAAGCTCTGACTGGAGGGGGGGGTTGAGGTGAAACAAAAAGGTGAGAGTAGGACATCTTTGGGGAACCTTTCATGAATTCATACAAATATTTTTTTTTCTCTTCCTTATTCCTCTTCTCTGTCTCTGTCTCTGTCTCTCTCTCTCTCTTTCTCTCTCTGAAATAGAGGTATCTCTTGACCTGATGAAACATCAACAGCTGTGTCTTGCCTTTAAAATCTGGCATTACTCATTTTCATATTTTCCATTTTGTCAACAAATTCCATGAGAGGACCAAAACCAACAATGCATTAGTCCATCTTTCAATACTTCCCTAAACTGTCTGTAGCCCATTTGCTCCTACTGAAGACATAAATTGTTTAAACAGGCTATGCTAACGTTGGCTATGTAGCAATTAGAAAAAACTTACAAATAGCTAATTTTAGTTTTTAAAATTTTTAAAAGGCTGATTCATTTCCTAAAACAGTTGGATACTGTAGTTTTCAACAACACAGGGTTTTGCACATATAGACTCTAGTTGGGCGGGCAGCCCAGGTATATTAACGACTGCACAAGTATATTTGCCAACTCATTTTGGCATTTTATTTGTATGTTTTTTAACCGTCAGAACAAGGCCATCCACAATCGATTAACTACTCCGCCAAGACAAACAGAAAGAGAGAAAGAGGGAGGTGCATGGTAATGCAGGTAATGAGGCAGCTGAGGGAGAGGCAGAAGCAGCAGGTCCCAGTGTGGTAAGAGCAGGGGACCCCACCACCACTACAATCACTACCACCACAAATACACGATGCTTGTGTTAATGAGGAAAAATGTTCCTCAGTGTAACCATGTCACTCATTGATGTATTTTTTAGAATAGTTTTTAGACAAAAAATAGTGGTCTGTGGCACAGCCAGGTCTGGCTTTGGCAAGTTAGTTAGTTTTATTCACTGGTCTTTCATTGAGATTTCTTAACAATAAGAAAAGTATAAAATATCACCAGCCTTATCCTCCAAGTATCAAACACCCAGTGACAACAACAACCTTTTCTCCTAAAAATCAAAGTCATATTCAACTAGTTAGAAAAAACAAATATGTTTTGAAAGAACAGTGCTGCCTGGATTATGTTTGTATCAACATAATACGGGAATATTTAAATGAAAGTATCAGAAAAGTACTAAAATGTTCTCTCTGACAACATCTTTCATTCAGCGGACTGGAAAAAAACAGTCAGTGAACATAATCCAGGCAGCAATTCCATATATCAACACTGTATATCATCTATAGAGCAAGAGGTCAGCTCTATAAGCTTTTAAAGGAAGTGAAGCTGCATGTAGAAGCCTTGACTACCTCAGAAACCTCAGGGTTCATTCTGCTTATATGCCAAGTGCTCAGCTGGTGATGTATCGATGTGCACAGCAAAGAGCTGCACTGATGCACAAGAGAGCTTCTGTATAAATGATGGACAAAACACAAAACAACAGCAGTGAGTCTTAATGTTGTTGATTCACTTTCTCCCTCACTGTCTTTCTCTCATTCTTTACCTCTCTCACACACACACACACACACACACACACACTGATTGCAGCCTTTGCCCACTTGACACATCTGGATTTATGATTACCTTTGCGTGTGACTGTAATGGCTAAGTGCTCAGATGTATGAGTTTATCATTTCCTAAGCTTTTGCCTCCCTGTGAAGATATTTAAAACGCCAACTGCAAGATTGATCATCTGATGTTTTCTGCATGGACTTAAGAATCCAAAACCAGAGCACCTGATCAAACCACTGGTTTATTTGAACTTACACTGAACATGTTTAGATAGATAGATAGATAGATAGATAGATAGATAGATAGATAGATAGATAGATAGATAGATAGATAGATAGATAGATAGATAGATAGATAAATACTTTATTTATTCCCTCGGGGAAATTCATGTTTAACTGACGGTGAGACACTGAGGACACATGGTCATGCTAATAAATGCTTTTCATGGCATGCTTTAGAGTTAACACACTTTTTTCTATTCCATGGTCACACAATCACAATCACAATCACAACATCCTTATATAGCTTGGAAGGAGAACAGAAGGGCTCTTCAACTCCAGTGGTGTCCATACACAAACCAGAAGTGGCTGCCACTGAAGAACTCTTGGTGGGACTACAATCTCATAACAGCTATGCGTGTTATACAAGCCCCTCCTCCACACTGTGCAGGATATGAGGGAGGAAAACAGACAAAGATGGGAATGTGTATGTTGACAAAGCCTTGATTATGGGATGTAAATAATCCTGCTACTTACTCGCTAACGCTGGAGATGCAGACATGACTTTAAACAGCTACAGTATTATGCATAAACATGTTTATGCACTTACACACACACACACACACACACACACACACACACCAACACACACACACACACACACACACACACAGCCATATGAATACGTGTCCATTCATGTACTGCTTAACGTTTCATATTAAATTATTACTATTTGGCTTTCCTCTGTGGTATGAAGTTAGCGCACAATCCTCTGTCTGTGTCGTTCTATGCCTCCTCCAGCACAGTTTCACCTCCTCCTGGACCCCGTTACTGACCAGCACATACAGCACAGGGTCCACCACACAGTTCAGACTGGACAGCGCCAGCGTGCATGAGAAGGAGAAGTGCATATTTTGTTCAAACGCGCAGTAGTTTCCTCCAGAAGTTGTGTTGTCGCTGTGATAGAAGACTAGTGAGCGTATGAGCAGGAGAATGTGATATGGAGCGAAGCAAATTGAGAAAATCCCAATCACCCCAAAGGACAGCAGGCGGACTTTCCTCTTAGCCTGTGCACTCAGGCCGGGACTCTGGCCCACAGTGGCCAGCACCCTCCAGTAGCTCACCGCCAACACTAGCAGGGGCAGCAGGAAGCCGATGCCAACTCTGATCAGGTTGAACAAGGCAACGGGTCTTTGCATGGGGTAAGTTTCATAACAACGGTCGTTGCCTTTCCTGTCATCATGGGCATCTTTGAGATTGTCATAGAACAGCACCATGATGTGCAGCACCACCACTACAACGTAGACAGTGACGCACTGCGCCCAGGCGTAGCGTGATGTACGGTGGGTCTTGGAGCGGAGCGGGTACGTGACCACCAGGCAGCGGTCCACAGAGATGCAGCAGAGCAAGAAGATGCTGATGTACATGTTGGAGTAGTAGAAGAAGCCAGCTACACTGCAGGACAGAACACCTAGCTTCCAGTGGTGGTCCTGCCGGTAATAATTGATCCAAAGGGGCATAGTGAAGAGGAAAAGCATGTCGGACAGCGACAGGTTGAGCAGGAAGATGCCCAAAATGTTTTGCCGCCGCACTTGTTGACAAATAGGGCCCAGAGTCAGGACATTGAAGATCAACCCAAAAATAAAAGCCAGGATGTAAACAGACATCAGTAAGTCACTGATGGGGCTCTTGTCGTCGATATTGACACACATAGTAGAGTTTGTGGTTGTCGCTGGTGATGTGACTGTGACGTTCATTTTTCTGTTGTTGATCTGTCACTTTGCTGGATAGAAACTCACCTGCAAGCATGAAAAAAAAAAGTTTTACAGTTATAGTTTGTCAGTTTAAATGAGTAGAAGTGACACGGGCAACATGGACTTATGCATAGGATAACTTAAAATTCATAGCACAGCCTGGATATTTTGTAATGCTAATCATATTTTGTGGTTCATTGATCTCAAGAGAGAAAATTGTGTGATTGCCTGAACATGAGGCAGTTTGGCTGTAGAGCATATGGTATTTGGAGTTGAAATCCCCCACCTAGAGATGATACAGGCTTAGTCATACTCCCTGATGATAACAGTTTGCACCCACAGTTGTAATAGGAGCTTGGATTGCCAAAAAAAAATCGCCCTTTATTGCCTCAACTGCTCTGTTTGAGGAAAACATGTCATGCATTTTTTTTTGATAAATGTCCTAGTTTTATAAAAACTGAGGGCAATAAGGAGCTTATGCCTTATATCATTTGAATTATATGTAGAACCCTCTGCTCCCAGATCCCTGAGATGATCACATTATTTTATATTAATGCTGCTTTTTGTTAAATTGTTGCACTCACTGACCTACATCAGAGTGGCAGGCAGGGGCAGCACCGACTGAACTGACAAAGTGAACATTTGCATTTTAATGTAACCAGCGCTTTATAACTTAAGTCCAGTTTATCTAAGCGATGAGCATTTGTGATTCTGTGGGGACAAAACAAGACTCAGACTCAACCTGTTAATTTATATGTATCCTTACAGAGACTGGCTGACAGTCCAGTTTAATGTCTGATGTAACAGTAATCAGCAGAGCTGGGTGGTTTAAGCGTCACTCCCAGACAACAGGGAATTCAATGTTGACTGTGGCTTGAAGAATGAGTAATGTGAACTTCATGCACTATATGAATTAGCTGATTAATTCCTTCCCTGATTTACACTGAAGATGCACGGTCAGACCCGGCTCGTCACAGATCTGTGGGTGTGATTCCTGACTGTTAGGCAGACACATCAGAGACATTAGTCTGTGTTGCTTCCTGTTCAAAATGTTCTGGTGCTGAAATGGCACAGAAAGGCCAAAAAACACTGCCCGCACAGCTAAATGTCACCAGAAAATGGGAAATAATAAACTCCTTAAAGCGGATCCCTACAAAGACGACATAGAATTGCTATTTTGCGGAGCCTCAATAGCTTTTTTAAAGTCAGAGGACATGGCCTATTGCTCACGGTGTTGCACTTTCAGTGAAACCAGGAGAATGCCCAAGACAGACTGAGTGAACATAAATATTCCATCAGAGTTAGATTATCCTATGGCACAACATTTTGCTGATGTCGTGCATGCAGAGAGAAACCTGTTAGATTTTCAAATTTAATGTCCTAATATAACCTAATATATCCAGGTTTGGATGAGGAAATAAAGATTATAAAACTTTCCTATAAATAACTTTATTTTATTCATAATTATACTTGCTGCTTTTATGTCATTGTGATAGGTATTTCATTATATTTCCAGTGTGTTGTCTTTAAAGAGTATCAGGCGTAACCTATTTTTACTCTTCTCATACAGCACTTCTCTTTTCTTTATCTAAGAGAGTCTGACGGAACATTTTCTTTACTGTGATCAGTTTTTTTTTTAAGTTTTATTATGTAGATTTTATCCTGTCAATTTCCTGTCTCTCTATATCACTGAGATTTCAGCAATAGGAAATTAAACATTTCATTGGCATCTCTCTCTTTGGCATCCGTTGATATTTGTTTCCCCCTGTACATTTTGTTCTATCTCTCAGGGTTGGCTCTGGTGTGTTTATAGGCTCAGGAAGCATCTAATACCATTAACGTCTGGACAGAGATAGGCTGTCCTGTCCAAACTCAATAATGGAGAAGCCATTTAGAGTCAAGCCATCCTCAGAGAATGATAATGTGCGCCTGCATGGGTGTGGGGAAATGGTTTCGATTTAATGGATTATTCATAAAATTTTCAATCAATGGGAAACTACCTTCACTTTAGTGACGGAAATTTTTTTTCATGAATCTAGCTTTTCTAAAATCATTCACTGGCTGCTGTTTAGTCATCAGTCTGACTGCTATGACTAACCACACATCGGTCTTTCCCTTCTATCAACAAAGGGCCTGTAACTGTGAGGAGTTTGTTCCATTCACTGGCATTTATCGTCTCCCTTGCTTTGTTTTTCTTCAAACCTACAGGTTTTCAACTTTTCATGTCTTTTTCACGTGTAAAGTATTTTATTTTATCCCTCACTACTAATGCAGGCCTGCTTTACACAGCTAGTCCGAGTTTCAGTCCATCTGAGCCAACTATGCGATTGTTACTATTATAAGATGAACTAAGCTGAGTTGTTATTACACAGCCTGTCACCAGTGCTGCTTTAAAAGAAAAACTTCAACCTTTTATGCCAAGAGAGAGAATGTGCTGTCTGCCAAACCTCATTTTCCAAACAACATTGAGCTTGAGATTGATTTTATTTTATGTTTCATAGTTTCCTTCCCTAATACCAAAGCTGCATTCCAAAAGTGTCAGAGTCCACCTGTGCAGTATACTCCCGTGAATTTGGACTATTTCTTCTTGTCAAGCACTTCTCTGCTACACTCTCCAGCCTGCTGTGGTGACCACCGCTGGGAGAACCACAGAAAACATTCAAACCTGCAGAGAATCAACATTTCCAGCCTAATTATTTCTGCAACACGGACTCACACAGCCTCGAGCATGCCGTCTTTCCCTTGACAGCAGTCCAATGGGGACGAAAAGAAAACTAGCAAAGAAAGTGAGATTTCAAAACAAATTGATAACCTACCTTCAACACCCTGCTTGCAGAACATTAAAAACAAGGAAGAATGCCTCACATTTTTACCCTTTTCGCTGTCACTTTTTGAAGTGTTCAAAGTATAGTATCATTTCCAGACATCCTACATCCAGATTTGTAATCAAGAGTGACCTCACCTGTTGTTTTTGGGAAGAGGTGTGTCTTGACTGTAAAAGAACGCTGTCCACTGGGCAAAGAGTTTCAGACACATTCCAGAGCTGTTTCAGGTTTGGAAGCGTTCTTCCAGGAGGTCAGAGCACGAGCTTCAGAGGAGACTCTTCAGAGCTGCTGACACGCAGCCAAAACCACTACAGTACCACATGGCGCTCTCAGAAAATAACTGCACTAGACAATTATCAGCCAATACAATAGCTAGACAGTGCAGGGTGTTTTTCTTCCTGTGTTCTATCTGATTTGTCTTTGCTCTGAGATGAGATGATTTGCCGTAGACAGCCACAGTTGAAATGTCAGCAGGGAGTGTGGAGAAAGGATGAGATGAAGTACAAAAAAGGGGAAGACACATGTAGGAGGAGGGAGGTTTGCCTTTGCACACGTGCAAGGAGGAAGTAGGTTTCATGGGTGGGGAGAAACACAAGACTGTGATAAAACAGACATGATGCAGAAGTGAATGAGAGTAAAAAAAAAGTGAGCTTTGTGCGTAAAGGAAACTGTATTTCTGTGGGCAGGCAGCCACACATGTGATTTCCCTATCTTACTTTCACATTAATCTTTACATGACAGGTGTAAGTGTATAGTGGAACTGAGCCATTGTCAATTATTTGAAAATGCTCTTTCTTCATCATCTTTCTCGCTTTGTCTGAATTCCTTTAACACAGAGTTAGGCTCATCACCTACAGTGATGAGCCTAACTCTCCAGGAAGCGGCATGAACCACGGGGTTCTCAGAGTCAGCATCATACCCAGAACAACCCTGCGTCTGCGTGCTATCCACAGGTCTTTTCATGTTTTATGAACGTAAACACGAGTAAACATGTAAATCAGCAATGATTTCCTATGAGCAAGAAGGCATAACTGAGGTCAGCTATACAAATAGCAGTGAGAGAAGAGGGTAGATAAGAAAAAGGAAATGCCAAATATTTTTTGGAAATGAAACTTATGGTAAAATCACCTAAAAGGGAGTTTAATACTAGCCTGAACACTCATCATCCATGACCCTTTCTCCCTGCCCATAGAGGCCAAGCGAGTGTTTCAGAATTGAGATTCATTATACATCTGATGAACATGCAAAGGAAGGATGTTGGTAAATGTGGTAGTTTAGCTGACAGCTCAGTTTAGCCAGTATTTCAATCAGGAAAGACTCATTTTCCATGTGCAAAACAAGAGAGGAAAAGTGAGAGATGTGAGAGTTAGAGAGAATGCCCCCTTCATGATGTCATAATAACAATAATAATAATAATAATAATAATAATAATAATAATAACTTCTTCTACTATAGCACCTTTCAGGGTACCCAAGGCTCTACAGAGTAAGAAGACAAAAAGTAAATAAATAAATCATATGTGATAAGTGGGTGAGGCTGTGCAAAGTATAGGACAAAGCTTCATTAAACTAAGCTTCATTAAAAGAAGAGGGTGGTGCTTTAGTGACAGCATGTTTATCATTTTTTAAAGCATTTCTCTTGTCTTTAGTAGTCAGACGCCTTTTTTATTTCAATGTGATAATCAAAGGTTTCTACAGAACTTTATGAGGAGTATTAAATCCATTCCTACGTTCTGGGAACAGTATGAATCAAAGGTGGAGCAACTTGTGCAAACTTGTGCACTGAGCGTTTCTGCCAAGATGACGCTGAATCTAGGCTACCTGTCACTGTGACTTGTGATTTCTTATTATTTTTCCAAAAGCAATTTAATAACTTTAACTTTAACTGAAAGGTTAAGTCTATGTCAAAACATTAGTCAAAGGCCCTGTGTACATTTCAAGAGTTATCAGCAGCTGTAACAATTCTTCCAGCATACCGGCCATAACCAGATCCTTTCCCAGCACGTAACTAGTGTAAGAGATGGATGGGAGAATCCACAGTCCTGTTTGCATATGAAGCTTCAGCAGTCTGTGTTGGTCATATCAAGTGGCTGTTTTCCCAAAGCGGGGGCCTTTCTAGTGCAACATCTCTAAAACTAAAACTAAAACTAAGAAAAAGTTTACCAACGTGGAAGATAGCTTCTCATTTTGATTCAGACCGCAAAAGCCTTTTAGCCACTGAACTTGCAGCCTGAAGGTAGACATGCTCTACTCCAAATGACGACATAAGCATGACTTAAACAGGAAGCAGGAGCACTTTAGGATGATTGATATACAGTATACATACGGTGCAGACATTATCATTTCTGGAGTAAAGCCTGCATTGCATGTCTGTCATTGCAAAGAGCTTGCACTTCCAATAAAAGGTACATTAATGCTTGTTATGTTGTGTACAATAATACATTATAATTACATCCTTTTATACAACCATTTCCATTTATGGCGATACTTCAACAGTATTGACATAAAGTCATTCGCTCACTGGCAGTTTTATCTGTCATTGTGTTCTGTGGTCTCAGGTTATGTTCACTGTGCTGCACCTTCTTCTTCTAAGAATAGCCCCTCACATGACAGGGCCTGACATTTTAAAAGCATAAATGGTGGGTGGAAATTTTTTTATGATAGCTCCATGTTCAAGAGATGTGAAGTGCGTGCTGACATTTCTAGAATGGCGTAGCCTGTGAATGTTACCACTGTCATCTTCGCTTCCTTCTTTCCTCAGCGTGAAGTTAAAAATGACATCCTTTGCTACTTTGCTATTGCTACAACAAAACAATGTGCATTTTTGTTTGTTTTCTAGCAACACCTTCCTCACTTAATGCTTGACCTCCCTCAGTGAAACACAGAGCCACAACGACAACAACAACCTGTTTACATAGTTTTGAGAAGTGATGTCATTGCAGTCATCTCACTTTGAAACTACAGGGTGCCACGAGGAGAGAAGTAACAATCAAGAGAATGAATATCATTTTACAAACCAATTGAAGACGAATATGATGGGATGGAATGGTTAAATGACACACTTAACCTTTTACTATGTCTGTGTGTTTATTTCATAAGTGATCCGACAAACTGATTTTTAATACTTGCTTGGTCTTTACTTTGGAAATTTGTAGGGAAATGATTTTTGTAGAATTGACAATGATAGTGTCTTATCCTTTAACAAACCTTTTTGACATAAACTATGGTGATAAGTTATTTTTTTTTTTTTTCACAAAGTTGGAATTTGATCATTGCAAAAACAGACTGGTGTAAAACAAGTTGTGCTGTACCCTTTTGGTTTTGCATTGGCCTGACAACCGGAATAGCTCAGCAATTTTCTGTAATTTTCCAAATTGTTTTACATTGCTGAGTTATTTCCTTTGAAATGCATTATGCCTGAGTGCAAGGGCAACCTTAGCAGCTGGCATAGCCCTTTAATGTGCTTGATGGCCAAACTGTAGGTCATTTCTTGTGCAGTCACAACAGCTGATGAGGAGAGTGCATTCAGACTTTGTGATCATGTTACACAATTACAGCCTAAACATTCCCACCGCAGGAGGTTTCTGTTTTGTATGATCACCGACAGCGTTTCAGTTGATAGTCATCTCAGGAAGCAGGATTGCTGGGCTGGTACTGATAATGGCAATAAGTAAAACCTTGTTTACTTAAGTCACATTCTAGATTTCGGGAATTAATACATGGAGAGTTTTTCTTGGCAATGTTATTAACACACCATTAATCTTGCTTTCCTGTAACAAAATGTTACATAATGTAACAGAAGAATTTCATGAGTGGTACAGAGCTTAGAGATTTTAGTCTATTAATGACGACACATTTTTCTTTGACAAACAAATTAAGATAAGAAACACTGCTATATTTTAGGTGACATATAACTGCTGATTGTATTTATTATAGGAGTAGGCTATCTGTACTACTCGTTGTGATGTCACCTTAGCTAAATGATAAGAATTCTTGGGTAATAAACTCTTGAGCACACAACCAATTGAATTTTGATGAAACCATCATTTTCTTCCACAGACGTAATTTATACAGATTCTCAACTTCTCAACAACCCCAAGACAAAACTCAAAACTGAATTGCTCCTGCTAGCTATAATCAATAGGCTTTGTGTGTGTGTGTGTGTGTGTGTGTGTGTGTGTGTGTGTGTGTGTGTGTGTGTGTGTGTGTGTGTGTGTGTGTGTGTGTCTTCTCATCCCAAGCAGAGCTATAGAACTAAACACTAGGCTCCACTCAAGCTGACAAGAAATGAGCACTGGGAGGTCTCAGAGGTTTCAATGACAAAACACTGGCAATGGAAAAAAGTAATCTGTAGCTCATTCTGCCTGAAAGCCACATTAATTCAATAAAACCTCAAAATTATTATTTCGACTCTAAGCACATTTTTTGGATCTTACAGGATAATTGTGGTGATATTTATTATTGTCAACCACAACCAACAATAATCTAAAAGCTACTATCTGTATAGCCAAAGCCTGATATAGCCATTGAGTCCTGTTAAAAGCATATCATTGATTATTGGGTGACATGTTGCATGCATATTAATTTTTTGAGTCAATCCCACATACACGTTTCTCCAGTGAAAAATACACAAAAGCAACAAATGTATATTAATCAGCTGCTCAAAACAGTCCCCAACAAATGTGCTCCTAACTAACAGTTTGGGGACTGTACTCTCGTAAAAAATTAGCAAGCACTTTTTACAACCCATAGTTACGTTTTATTGTTCGATGACCTCTAGAACCCGTAGAAATTATCACGGGAGCAAAGGAGAAAGACAGGTGGTGTATATAGAGCGACACAGTTCACTTGAGGAGAAGGCAACTTAATCATGTGAACATGGTTTCACAGTACACTTCTTACAATAACTTTAGAGGCAAGAGAAAACTAGCCAACACATAGTACTATGAACATGTGTCACACTCATTATACCAGATATAAACTGAACTATATAAATATACAACACTCTTGTACGTTAATGACAAGTATCTACCAAAAACTGAGCTATGTCACATGTCTTATATATAAACATGTACTGTAATCGACATTCATCCGTCATATCAACCATGACTGGGATGCCCTGCAGACATTTTCAAACAAAGTTTAACTCAGAGATTATGATAAAAAGGACAGTAGAATTTAAAATGCATTTCATTTTCAGACATTTCCTGTCCTCCTCTGGGGCTAAATAAAAAGCGTCTAGTTTCCACAACCAAAGGCAGGATGCCAGATCTTAAGTGAACACAAACAGACCTGAGACTGAGCTCTGGTCAGTGGTCTGGTTCAGGGTGGCATATTGCCCGGGATGGTAAGTGTGCTTAAGAACACGTTATGTTCTTAGCAGAGACCTAAAATAACTACAATTACAAGGCAACTTATTTCTAAATATATACTATAAACTAAATTTAGAGAATAACTATTGGTCATTAGAGAATCTAATGGTCATTTAGAGAAATTTATTTAAGCCATCCCAATAAATGATTTGTGTAGTAAGTGTATTGTCAAGCATGTTAATGAAGCTATTCCACAACGCAGCATGTTATCCTTTTGCCTAACTTTACATGGCTCCCAACCCATATCACCACACACTGACAGCTTTCATGTGTGCCCAAGAAACAACACATAGCTCTGTTCTTTATCGCTTTTTGTTTGTCTACAACCGCCACAGATCACTGCTCCAAAAATGGACAGAAACAAGCCGATAAAGGAATGACTGAAGTGACATGAAATGGCAAAGCAGTCTGATCACTGATTAGATTTTGACTGAACAAATTTGCTCCAATTTGTTGAGTGTACACTTTCTTATCTTTGTGTTTATGTATATCAAAAATGCTGCCATCCATGAAACCAGTTGCTATGGTAGCTGAAAGCATAGGTATATTTTAATTTGAGAAGCGCCTTTCATCTCTCAAGGTCATCACTCAGATTAAATTTGTCAAGTCATCCTCCCCTCCTGGCGAATTAGATGAACATTTCTTTTTGAATTGGATGAAGTTAAATAGAGTCTCAACTGCTGGCGCCAGGTACAAGTCTGTCCGTGGTGTGAAAGGGTCTCTGTTGCTTCTTGTCAACTGCAAGGCCAGCGGCCTGGAGAAGTCTTGCTGATGCGAAGGTGACAAACCTGCCTACAACTGAAAGAAATAAAAGGAGACTGAAAGAGAGAAAGAATATATCATTAGTCATTGTTTTGGCAATGATGATGGATGTAGTGTAGGAGTACCAAGGGTGCACTTTCAACTAGAGTAGCAAGCTAAAGTGTGCTCATCACAGAATGGAAAACAATTCAGTCTCTTCGTCTCTGTAGCCACAGGGTCCTCTTGAGTGCCACTTGGTCTGTGAGGTGTAATGTGTAAAAAATTGTCTTTGTCCTTTGACAGCTAAGAGAAATTTTTTTTTTTGTATGTGTGTATGTGCTTGTGTGTGTGTGTGTGTGTGTTCATATGCATACATAAATCCATCTTATCATAAATCCATGTTGCAAGCGCCCATATAAGAGCATCCTTGAATTTCTGTATTGGCCCTAGTGTCAGTACATTTAAGAAGAAATTACAGTCGGTATATTTGGGATAATCTGCTGTTCGTTGGAGAGGGAAAAAAAATAACAGTCTGTCAGACTGTGAGTAGAAAAGTAATTTATTGCTGCAGCGCAAGTGGTACTTATTCTTTTGTCATTCAAAGCATGTTTTTTTCACTATAGAAAACCTGAGTGACAGTAATGGTCCTTGCTTCTTAAACATATTGCTGAGGAAAAGCAAATTGTCTGTATATGACTGCAAGTATTTTAGTGGTAAATCATCGTCACATTTTCGTGCCTGCTCGGTTTTACCTGTTACAATTTCTAGATAACATCCGCGTTACAATAAATAAAACTTCCAAGACAAAAAGAATATTGTTCAAGGTTTTGTATTATCTGTTACAAAGGCTAGGATCATCCTTCAAACATGTTATACACAGTCTACACATATTTGACAACTACCTAAAGTTCAGGTTACACATGTGTATAATAGACCATCATAACTACAGTATGTTTTATATTGTGTCTAAATAATTCTACTTCACAGAAACATGCAACATATTGACATGACAGCTTGTCAATAATTGAACTACATACACTCCAAAAAAAGTCTAGTTTAGTAACCCAAGCGCTTACATCATAGGGAGAGGTCTGCTCTTGCTAAACGAGATGTCCATCCATCTTCTCATCAGCGACAGTATGTGAATCTCATATACGGCATCTGTGGGGACATGCTACTCACCACAAACTGCTTGACAGGAATAGCTGTTGAGGCCATTGTTGTCTAATATGTCCACTGCAGGTAGAGACGACTTACTGTTAAAAACTGTCGGGTCATGGCAGATAATAAATAGCCTCAATGCTAGAGTTCATTTAAACCCACAATGCCATGTTTAATGACATATATCTTCTAAAAGCCTCTTGTGGTTCAAAACTCCAGTGGTAATTACTGGAGGCTTTGCTGTCGCCAGATCAATAATTCCAGTTTTCACTACAGGACATGAGTTTATGGGAACACAGATGGGTTTGATGCCATTATCTGCACATTAGTAATTACCAACACAGAGGAAGTCTTTTGTCACTGCAAAGAGATTGAACCCGTTTTTACTGAGGACCTAAGAGAGACTGTAATTCCAGTCAGTCCAACTCAATGACACTAAAAACAAATGTTAGTTTTAATTGAAGGCAGTTCGATTTTAAATTTAAACTCCTATTTGTTTACAAAAATACCTGTAGCAAATTCTTATTTTTGATCAATTGTGGCAAAATGGTATTTCCTGCTTCAATTTGAAGTGCTTCACGCTGAGAAGGAAAATAAGATGCTGTTTTTTTTGTGTGCGTTCCAAATTTTGATTTAAAGTTTGACTCCAATTTTGATGGCAAAGACTCATTATGAAAGAGTTCAATATTTCAAAAGATGAAAACGGACCAATCACCACAGAGGTAAATGATTAGAAGGAAGTTTTGATGAACTCAGTCTGTAAAAGTGAGCACTGGCACACAGCAGATGTTTTGCTGTGAAAGTCTGAACAGCTGGACACTATTCTCATTAGAACCATGTGATTCTTTGCAACTTAATGTCTCTGGCAGACTCTAGGTCTACCATCTCATTCTCCCTCTCCCTTCTTCTTTTCTCGGTCCTAAATGATCTTGAGTTGTCTATCTCTCCCTGGTCAGAGGATGCTGACCCTCTCAGTGAGGCCTTGCACATCTGCATCCTCCCCGCCCTCCTCATCGTCAGAGCCCGGCGCAGGAGGAGGAGGCACAAGGTGAGCAGGGTAAGGCAGAGTATGTTCACGGGCAAACATTTGCCAGCGGCTGTCATCACTCTCATGGGTGATGTAACGCCCGCCAAGTTTCGTCTCCAGTTCCCGCAGGTCCAGCCATGTCTGATAGTCCTGAGAAATGGGATATGGGAATATACACAGGGGTGAAATTTCAGTTTCAGTTTAAGAAGCCTTGAAATTAGATCAGAGTTAAAAAGCTTTTATGTGTTTATAGTGCAACATCCAGTAATAACTTTTGGTTGTGTGTATGTGTGTGTGCGTGTGTGTATGCCTGCGTACGTTCATGAGTGTGTGCAAGTAAGAACTTGAATGATCCTTTTGCCTGTTTCTGAGGTAATTATAAATTACACTTTCATCCAAGTTAGGGCTGCTGTGACATTGAAAATAAATTAATCCATGCACATTAGAACAAACAAAAACAACAACAGTCAGTGGGATGGTTTAAACCTCCAAAGAAAACTGATCTGTTTTTCCACTGTATATATATTTTGCTTTGAGGGAGACATTTAAGAATTGTTCAGTCAATGAAAACATAATTTTTATAGCTAATCCGTCCTCCTACATCCTCACTAACGTTCCAAAATATCAGCCTTGAGCAGCCGTCTTGCCGCTGCAGACTCCCTTGTGCTTATATTTGCCCTTTCCTGTAATGGCCATATATTTTATTGAGGGATTTGCAGAAGTAAAGAAAAAAAGGTAAAGTCCTTTTGAGGTATTACTTTACCACTAAAATTATTGGCAGTCACCATATCAGGAAAAAGAGCTGCTTCCTGTACTTTTAATTCAGGATTAATGGAAGTACTGGAAGGCTGATAAAATAGTGTCAGACAGACTTTAAACCATGTTCTTGTTTGTTATAAATTTCAAAAAGTATTAAACAATGTGTGTTTACTTGAGTGAAGTCGTGTTGATATGCTACCTGTAAGTATGAATGGCTGAGACTCTTGTCCACGCTATAGCGTTTCCTCATCTTGACTTGAAGCAGGTTGTTGATCAAGTCGATTGCTGGGAAACACAAAGGTATACGCATTGCTCAATAAAGAGAAACTGACAAATGACAGTATAAGAAGTCATTAGAAATATCATGCTTTAACATTCTGGCTACATCTGAACAATTTTATTCCTGCATTTAGTTGTGGCAGAGATAGAATGCAATGAACAGAAACCTTGTTCATCATTATAACGATTACTCAATTGAAAAGTGGCTTATCATAGTATGATTGCGTAATATATTGTGAAATAAAAAAGTTTAACTTGTAATGGCTTGTCATGCTTTCACAGTTTGTGTTAACCTTTTTCTAATAAGTGGCCAGTTTATTAGGAACACCTAGCTAAAACGAAGGCAGTCTAATACAACAGTCCTGCAATAAATCCTCATGAAGGTTATAATGTTCAGTGTGTTTCTACTTCGGCTTCTTGCTGTGTCAAACAATCACATTCTCCTCTCATCCCTGCCCCTCCGTGTTTACCATCACTGGAGATCTGTTTCCAGGGGTTGGGAGGGTACATGAAGGCCGCATTGTGGATCTGGTCGTTGATGTCTTCATCCTCATTAAATGGGAACGTTCCACTCAGGCTGACATACATAATGACGCCGACCGACCACATATCCAAGGAGCGGTTATAGCCCTGGTTCAGCAGAACCTCGGGGGCCAGGTAGGCAGGTGTACCAACCACTGAGCGACGAAAAGACTTCTCACCAATGATACGAGCAAAGCCAAAGTCACACAACTTCACCTGAGAGAGAGAGAAACAGTGTGAAAACAAGGGGGGAAAAAAACATTTCAGAGTGTGAAAACCACAACTGCTGCGTATGATGATGCATTTAGTGTGTGCATGTGTATTTGTGCATGTGTATATACCTGAGGAAAAGGATCAGCAGAGGCGAGGAGCACGTTTTCTGGTTTCAGATCACAGTGAACAATGTTTTTAAAATGCAGGTGTCTGAGAGCTGCAAGAATCTGCAAACAGACACAGATGCATACCCACAACCACAAAAACAGGATATGAGTTAGTCAATCCCCACTCTAAAAAGCCAAATGAACATGCATACTGTACATTTCAGTGAGTTCTGATGCAGGCAGCAAGACACTGCTGCATCAGGACGTCATTGTGAGTAATAAGTGGATCACAAGCATACAACAACAGCAACAGCAATGCTTTCGGTGTTGTGATGTATACTCGGTTTCTACAAAAAAATCCCCTGTCTGCTGGGGCACATACACACCTGTGTGATGAGGAACTTAGTGAGCCTCTCAGGCAATCTGCCTTTCTCACTGGAGAGGATCATCTCCAGCATGTCACCATGTAGCTTCTCCATCACCACAAACACTTTCTCTGGGGTCTCAAACATACACTCCAGGTTCACAATGCCCAGATGACGTAAACTCTGAGAGAGTGATGAGAGAGGAGGAGGAGGAGGATGGAAGAAAAAGGTGGGTGATGAGGAAATTGGGAGGTGGTTGGTTGGTCGGGGGGGGGGCGGGGGGAGAAGTTGGGTGAAGAAAGAATGACAGAGACAGACAGCAACAGACAGCAAAATTTATCATTAAATGGTTATGCTCCAGAAATACCATAAAAGGCATTTTATTGCGTATTGATATGATTCAGAGGGACTTTTCATCACCAGGTATTTCACTTGAAACCTGGGGAGTGTGGCAATGTCTGATAGGCCAAATGAATAACTGCAGAGATGAAGGGAAAGTCAAGTCTTCTAGGGACAGAGTTGTGAACAAGTGGACAGACCACTGTACCTCTGTCTCCATCTGCTGGTGCACAATGTACTCTACATTTAAGTAGGTGCCTAAACCAGCTCAAGACAGCAAAAATGAAATGGATTTCTGTTTCTAAATTATACATTCTTCTCAAGTCATGTTGTCTTTCTGTCATTTTAAAGAACTTAGATACTTTCTGTTAGCAATTTATTCTTAACTTTATAAATAATGTACAGTCTCAAAATTAGTGTTTGTTGGTTAGTTGGTTTTTTATATGTACTTTTATTTACAGTTCTCCAGGCTTTTGAAGTATGAAAAATGGACCTGAATTTGTAATGTAATTCATGTCTACAATGAAGAGTATAAAGTGAGTAATGGAGCCTGACTTAAGAAAGACTTCATGTATGTTATTTAGGACCGCAGTTGGTTGAGACATTGTGTTCCCAAAAGGCAAATGAATTATTACATTATTTTAACTCAAACATTTAAGGCAAATATCATACACAAAATAAATATTACAAATGACTATGACAATTCATGATGATTTATCACTGGGAACATTTGCTGCAAATGTGCAAGGCAGGTATCAGATAACTCATTTGTGGCCTTTGTGATAGAAATCTGTCTATTGTTAAACCACACAGCCACCGTTAATGTGTCCCAAACTGATCATCTTAGTGCTTTGATACTATTGTCCTTTTAAAAACAATCATAAGCACTATGAGAGTGGAAATTTCCTTTCCTTTTAAAAAACAGTCCACAAACCAGATATTGGTTTAGCCAGACACTGAGCCATCAGTTCCTAAGCAGTAACCACAGAACAAGCTGCTTCCTTTTAGCAATACTTCTTCAAATGATTCATGCTGGGATACGTGGAAAGTTATTGAGCCTCACAGTCCAATTGAGTCAATACAAACCTTATCAATGTCACTATGGACACCAGTATTGTAATGAATGACAGCATTTTTCATTTTTCATGTACGTGCCAACATAATTCACAACACCGATTTCCAATATACCACAAAGCACCTGTTACTGTGTCAGCATTAGTGTGTATGTACAAATGGTACTCATTTGCAGCTGCAGTGAAAGGTATGCGTGTTTACCTGCAGTATGGCCACCTCATTCCTCAGCTGGCTCTCCTGCTTGGTGGGAAAGCGGAGCTTGTCAATGACTTTGACCGCTACGTCCCTCCCTGTCTTCCTGTGCTTTCCTGATGAAGAAAAGCAAGGTTAGTAACAGATGTGGCTGTGAACTGAACCTTACATATGGACATATATTGGAGCCTGTCATCCAGAGTTTGTGATGTATTTAAAATAGTGCTCCAATGACCACCACATGACAAATGTCTTCATATATGCAGTAGAACTAGACTTTGACATGTGGAATTGGTGGAGTTCCCCTTTAAAGACACATCTACTGTCAGGCATGCATCAGTGTAGTCCATGTTTTAGAGGGTTTGTGATGTACTGTCTTGTGTCTTGTTAGCTTTAACCCATTCGTTTGACCTTCACAGAATCTAATCTAATCTAATCTAATCAATCTAGAGCTCAATCAGCAGTATCACTGGACATAGATCTACATACCTCCATACACGACTCCAAATTGCCCAGATCCCAGCACTTCATCAGCAAAAATCTGGTACACTGTACCAATGTCCTGTAGGAATGTACTTCATTTAATAAATCATTTAATCATCATTCTCACTGTAAATATTCATTTAAAGACTGAATGAAATAGGTAAAAAAAAAAAGAAAAAGATCATACCACGTTCTCTTGGATTTGACTGTTGGACACTGATATGCTGATAGAGGCTTGTCCTGAAAAAAACAAAAACAATACCAGGAACAATGTACAGGTTACAGAGTTTTATGAATTTTAGGTTGTGTATTTAATGAGCACTACCTGTCAACAACTAATATCTCACATGTACTGTATGGTAATTTTCTCCAACACTAGAAAAGGAAGACTTTGCTCAACCTCAGCTCGACATACGAAACTGAAATGAAAGAACGACTTAACTTACTGGAAAAGTTTATCATCAGATTAAATAAAGACCAAACCTCGTCCTGTAAATCAGCTCATGTTGCTTCTGATGCTTCTGATTTTATAATTTTTTTATTAATCATGCCCATCCATAAAACTCTTAGTAAATATGATAACCAAAAATGCACCATCCACATTTGGCTGCTCTCAACTTACTATGAGTTGTGTTCCCCTCGGCTGGTGGGGCATCCTGAAAGATGACAGGCATGAGGGCCTGGCGAATGGCGCTCTCCCACGCCTTGGCTACTTCACGCCCAATGCCGCTATTGGGCGCCACTTGGCTAGGTGAGGGAGGTGTCTGGGGGACAGTCGGCGGGTTGCTGGGTTTCAGAGGGGGGAGGGTGTTGGGGTCCTCCCCTACAAAGTAGCACATAGTGCCTGTGATGAGCTCGAAGCAGTGGGGATTTGTGCCGGGGGGGACAAGATTGAAGTTGCCAGCAGGACGCAACTCCAGAATCTCAGAAAGAGGGATCTCCTGCAAGTGGATGGACCAATGATATGGTAACAAACTTCAACTTCATATTAATGACTTAAAATCATAGCTTTTTCGTGGAGTTAACTGTACTTACCTTGTAGTATTTGTTGGAGGTGTTGTTCTGGAAAAGGATGATGCACTTACAGTCCAGACGCCAGTAGTGCCTCTTTCTCTGTTTGGGGTTGGAGTAGGATGGGATGAGTCAGGGCAACAAAGACAAGGCATTGAAGAGTGGGATAGGGAGAGGACAGAGGGTGAGGAATGGGGCTTGGATCTGGGGGTAAAGCTCAAGGGTCAACATGGATGCATTTCAAGTACGGAGGTGACGTCCAGAGGATGAGAAGAGAGGCCAGGTGAGAAGAAGGATAACCAGGAGTAAGAGCTGCAAGACGAGAAGGTGGAAACAAAAAGAAAGAGAAAAGAGACAAAAGTGAAAGGAAGAAAAAAAGTGCTAGTGCAGCCAGAGGATAAACATGCATGAAAAAGACTACAGAGGCAGAAAAGTTTCTTTGAGGTCAAATATATTGAACAGAGAAAGAAAAAGTGGAAAATGGGCTTTTAGCTTGAATTGACCACACGTCTGCTGAGTGCTATTATGTTTTCAGGGAGAGTCAGCCACATCATCAATCTTCAACTATTCCTTCTTCCATATAAATACACACTCATTGCACACTCACAAACCTGCACAAATAAAAAAGAAAAAGGAAGCAATAACTGCCTTGAAGGCAAGAGACCAAATGGTCAAGCTCGAAAGTGTTTGGAGAGGAGCTGGTGGACAGGGAAAATAAACTGATGATGAGGTTGAGTGAGTGGAAAGTAAACAAACTTGCTGCAATAAATAAGAAAAGAACATGAAGAAAGTGGGTTCATGCATCTAGAGGAAACTGACTTCAATCCATATGTGCAGCTCCTACAACAATGACAGAGATATTTAGCTTCGGTAGCATGGGAATTATAGGTGATGTTTTTACCAGTGTGTCCTTATTGCTGTAGTGAACCATCCATCCTTCTTTGATGGCTGTACTGGATCGACGGGTTGTCTGTCTCACCGACTGTACCACCCTCATAAGCGGGATGTAAACACTGGAAGAAGCAAAACGTGTTTGAATTTGTGTTCCTCATATAACAGCCCTTTGGAGATTTATTTGTAGCTGTTCTCTAAATGTTTGTGTTTTCCGACTACCTCTGATCTCCGCTGGTTCCGTCCTGGTTGTTGTCAGGAGAAAAGGACCCGGGGATGCTGCAGGCCTCGTCCGAGTCATCCATTGAAGACTTGTCCGAGTTGTCATAGTCACTGGTGTAGTCCATGGGCACTTCAGGGTCCGCACTGGGACTCAACATGTCTGGAGCAAAAATGAAGCAAAGAGAGGTTTGAGTGCGACTTGATTTAAAGTTACAATGTGTTTAAAATGCTGTGGAAAAATACTACTACTTGCCACTTCTAGAACTACTACTAAGCTATAAAGGGAGAGTGCAGCTTTACATGCATCAATACTGAGCACCGATAATACTTACCACAGTTACTTCTGTTGTCTGAGAAGATAAAAACATTAGTGCCAGTGAGTTTCAGTCGTGCTAAATAATGTCTTATATTACGTGTGGTTATTAAAGTAACCTAGTTCTGAAATGAATGCTTTTATCAAATCAATGCAGGGTTAAAAGAGTCATTAACAGAAAAGAAAAGTGATAGATTTATATCTTCCCTCACCTCCAATAGTCTCCCCGAGGCAGTCATTTGGAACCTTGTACGCACAGCGCTTGTGGCAGTTGAACTTGCAGTCTGAGAGGAATAAAACACAATTCATTCTGATCAGATTCTATGTAATATGGTTAGATTTATATAGCAATTCTACTGGACACTGGACATCCAGAAGTGAGTCTCTCTCTTTGCCTGTACTCACCTTTGCACTGTAAGCCCTGCCTGAACAGTCCTCGAAGAAGCCTCTTGCAGTACTGGCACACCGTCGGTCGCGTGTACGAATGGACAGCGAACGTGTGGGGCACCTTCACCTTGCTCATCAGGATCTTGTCCAGATGAACTGGTCGGCCCGTGTAGAAGCGCCGGGCCTCACTGGGGGTCCGTGGCTAGCAGAATAGAGGGGAAACAAAAATTATCAACGACACAGTTTGTGTGTGAGTAAGTAAATAACCAACCCTTTAATTACTTAATTTAATTATGTCCACAAATCTGCAATAAGTGATTTTATTTTTTGGCCACTTGGGGGCAGCGGAAACAATTTATAAACACAACTTTGACCTATCATCACCTTTTAAGTTGCTTATTTACACATCCAGCAGCTTTAGCATGTATTGGATGTCATGTTTAAGTCCAATAATTTCCTTTAAGCTTTGTTCTTGGTCTCTACCAATAATAATACCCAATTTGTTACAGCAACATGAAACAAAGCTGTTTCATGTGGTCAAATAAATGTTGCCCATGGACTCCTCCTTAGTTTTAATAGTCTAAAAATGAGCAGAGCATTGTGTGCATGAATCCACCAGTACCATTTGTGTGTGTGAGCGGATTAGGGTAGCATCTTCTGTGCAGGTGGAGGCCGTCCCAACACTGTACACTGACTCAGTGGTGGAGAGACGCAGGGACTGGCTGCTGCTCAGGGAGGTGGTGGACAGACGCCGTTTACGAGCTCCACTGCAGTTGTTTGGGATGCTGAAAGCGCAGCGCTTGTGGTAGTTTAGTCCACATCCTGCAGGGGGCAGCATGGATCAAAGAACCAGCAGAGGGAGCAGCAGATCAGCAGAGCAGGAGAGAGGAGAGTGTGGAGCATGTTTGGTGAGTGTTACAGATCATTTCTCAGAGAAATGTGTAGACCACATCAAAAAATCTTTTCCTTTTCACACTTAGTCTCTCTGATTTTCTCACCGTCACACTTGAGCCCTTGTCTGACCAGTCCAAACAGCATCTCTCCGCAGTGGTCACAGAAGGCTGGGGCCCGGTATGAGTGCACATTGAGGGCATGGGGCCGAATCTGGAAATCTTCAAATGTGGCTGCCGCTAAAAGAGATAACAGGGATAGAGTGTGGTCACTGTTTCACGATACAATCACACCACTGTGCAGAATAAAGACTGATTAGATGGATAAGACGGAAACAGGATGGAAAAATAGATGGGTTTTGTTCCTGACAGGGGAGCATTACAATTTGAAACAATGAAAGAACAGATTAGGCCTGTGGAAGATATTACCTGTAGTAAAATAAGCAGATAAGCACTGATTCCAAGAGTGGTGTTGCAGAGTAACAACAGTAATGCAAGAGAGATTACAGAGGAAAAAAGAAGGAAGAAAATTTAGTGTAGATTTTAATATGGCTGACATATTTGAAGAGAGGAGTGCTGGTTTCTTACCAGAGAGCACCACCTCCACCAGATCTCCTTCCTGAATGTCGCTGGCAGCTTTAACCAGTTGCAGGATGTTGTTGGTGGATGTGTCATGCTTGAACAGCAAGATCTTGTCATAAATGCCATAGAAGCCACATTCTGGGAACTAGAACAAACAAACATGGCATAAGAGAAATGTAGGAGGATCAACTGTAAAAAAAAAAAAAAAAGCAGAATTGTGATTGACATTGTGATTTTATCTCCAGGAGGGCTGGTAGTTGAAAGACTGGTGCTGCATTTCATATAATGTAATAAAGGGCTTTATGTCAGCAGCCTGTCAGGCATTCTAGTCAAATCAACACTTCCCTGAGCTTCTGTTATTGACAGAAAAAGCTCCAGTTCGAATAAAGCCAAATATATAAACAGAAGCAACCAGCTGTAACGGCAGAAAACAAGCCATCTGATGAAACGGAACAGACGTACACACAGACACACACCAACACATTTAAGGCTGCAACATAACTTTCTTTTTCATCCTGTCAATTCCAAACATGATTTTAAAAAGTCATAAATTCAATAACTTTTAATATATAATATATCAAATGTGTTTAAATAACTTTAAATTAATTGTAAAATTGGACAATATTTCTTTTGGAGTGTAGATTTATGAAATATTAATTTTAAATGTATTTCATCAAATAGATGGTGTTTCATAGGACTCCATAAAAATAATGACAAAAGATATGAAAAACTTAACATGTATGAAAATGTACATGAGAGTTTTGAATAGAGACCAGAACCTTGGACTTTGTATAACTGTGCCACATGTGGCCCACTCAGGAATCCACCCACTGACATACCCTGTATTAACTCAGCAGCCTCTCTTTATATTCAAGCTGAGAGAAAGTTCTTATTACACATTGGTCATTTACAACTGACATCCTAAACAGTCACAGCTCTGCTATTTTCATTAACAGTTGAAAACATCACACTGTGAACACAGAACATGCAGCAACAAAGCAATGATTCTATGTTCTCAGGCATATGACATTACTGTATGCCTTTAACCAATTCTATCATGCCCTGTTATACAAAGTGCCTGGGATATGTAGCAGCCCACACACACACACACACACACACACACACACACACACACACGTGTAACCACTGATATACAAGAGACACTGGCCGAATTCCACTAATTGAGCAACTTGGTCAATGTGGAATGGGAGACAAAAGGAGAAACTTTATCCTATCTTCCTATCAGTCATACTCAACACACACACACACACAAACGTGTTTCCATGAAGCTCCTCAAGAGATATGAGAGATGAGAGTGTCAGTCAGAAGTCAGCAGAGCGCAGGGAAACCCTGCTCTCCTGAATAGTTAATACTGTCTGGTTCACTTCAGTGGCCACACCACACAGGACACCACAGGTATACATCTTTAAAATTAATTTGTCTTTTGGGGAGAAAACATGAGACACCCTTGATCAGACCAGAGGAGTAAGAAGAAAAGGAATAAACACACGCACACATGATCCTCCCAGTCTCTCTTGTTGTTTTTCCCACGTCAGAGTTACGATTCAACATCTGGCCGAGTTCTAGCTACTTAAAGGAAGGGGAACCCTGGTCTCCACCCTGGAACGGCACAATGACACACATACACCTCCTCCTCGCTTACCAACAGACACACCCTCCTTACAAACAGCAACCCCCCCCCCCATTTCCCTTCTTTTCTCCTAAACACACATACACACACAGTCCCGCTCTCATTTCCCAACAGGCACTCCACAGCACCACATCTGAAATCCAGGCCTGGTTTGTACTGCTGCCAAGCTACACAGTGAGTCCACCACGCCCCACCAGTGGGCTACTGCTACTGACCACACAGTCAACAACAAGACACAAAAAGCACACAGTGGCCTTAACAGCCATTACATGCATCTACAATAAAGGAAGCGAACAGATATAAGGCTAAAGAACAAGAAGGTGGAATACAAACCCAAGCCGTGGTAGAGAGGTGTGAAAGGTGTGTGAGCAAATCAGTGTAGCGCTACCATTTAAATAATGCCTCTGTTTGTTTAGCACACTCATTATGCAAAGTTGATTCCCAAACATCACAAAGGAAAGACAGACGCAAGATTATGGCCTACACAGCAGAAAATGTCATAATTGAACAGAAGGCTGAGAGTTGAGGGATGGAGAGAATATTAAACTAAACTAACTAAAAGATCATTTAGAGGAAAGATAGCAGTAACTCTTCTTACAGCTGCTAAGAAGACATTAACTTTGCAATAACTAGGGGAAACCACGACTCTGACATATTATCTACTTATAAAGTCGATGTGGAGAATCTGCATTTGTTTTGTTTGTGACCACTTGATGAATGTAAGCTCCAGCAGTATTCACTGTCCTTACAGCTCTCCAGCTAGCTTCATCTTTCTTCTGTTTGGTGCTGGACAGGTAGTGTATACTGCTTTTCCATTGAAAACAGCTGTCTACTGCGTTGGGGAACAACGCTGATGAAAGCTGTGACACTGAGCCAAAAGGTGTGGGCCATAAAACCCCAAACCATGAGCTGAAAGACATCATAAAGCTCCAAGAAAAAACAGTGACAGCGAAGCAGCTCCCAATACTGAATAGGAAATTCTGTCAGGTGCATGGTCATGGCTGAAAGCATAAAGGTGAAAGAAATGCCAGCACTCACACTAAAATAGTCTTCTATTTTAATATGGGGCAAACGATGAACACGTTTCAGCAATAAGGTGTCATCAGCGTAAAATATATATAGATTAAAGATTATAAATCTCAGTAAGACTGGACTGAAGGGGACAGCAGCTTTGGTGATACATAACACGATACTCTGTTACAATAGAGTATTGATTATAGCTGCTAAAAACAAATCATTCAAATGTTTTGTTCACCCAAATTACATCTAATGGTATCCAGCCATGAACATAGTTATGCTTTTGTTGTTTTGCCTAGGAGAGAAGAGATTGACAATGGCTTCGTGAAAAGTATTTAGTTTCAGTCAGTCAACTCATGTGGAATAGATTGTATGTGAATGTTGATATGTAAAACATTAATGTTCGGGAGGTGGCAGCAAGCAGTGGCATAGCTTTCAGGTAAGTGGCAGTGTGCCATGCAGTACACCGCCATAATTAAAATGGGTGCACTGGATATGCGTAGGAGTGAGAGAATGTCATGCGAGTGTAGCGGCACCTCGAGTTGAACTCCCTGAACTGGCTTGCAGGCTTCACTTCATTAGTGGTGATCACAGAATTTTAAAAATTCAGCAACTTCATGTCTTTCCAAACTCATGAACCCATTACTCTGAATAATCCATAAAACATGCTGTCAACAGTTTTCTCAAGGACTGTTTCTTTGGTCGTAGTTCCAGTCAAACCAATTGAGCGAGGCCTGTGGATTATTCAGAGTAGCAGGGAAACACTGTTTATGGAGAGAGACTCTAATGTTGAATTCTTGCAATGTTTGAGTGCTGTGAGAAACACAAAAGAAATTCCGATCATCTCCATTATGCTGGTGTGGAGGCAGAGAGAACTCAAGAGATGGTTATCTAAGTCACAACTATCTGCATGTCTAGATACACCTGCAGTTAGAGAGAAAATCACCTGCCTCTTAAGATAAAGTTTTTCCCTGCCCATGTTGCCAAGTGCTTGTTCATGGTGGGAATTGTTGGCTCTCTGTAATCAATATTATAACAAGTATGGTCTGGACATGCTTGAAAAGTGCCTTGAGATAATTTGCTGTGATTTGGCGCCATATAAATAAAAATTTACTTGACTTGCCTTTTTGTAATTTAGGTGAAAAGACAATTTTACCCCAAGACGTCTACAAATGTTTGTGGCTTGGGCTCAATTAGACAATAAAGATATTCATGAGAAGAGGCTCCAAAATTTCCCGGCTCCAGACTTAAAAACCCACAAGTTCTCTGACAGGAGTGAATCATGTAATAACATGTAATGCATCAGTACCTGGGACTGCCACAAATAAGACCAACTGCTGCCACTTGTAATTACAAACACCCACAGAGCCCAGATCACAGGAGACTCCCTGCTCTGCCCAAATCCACAGACAACCCTCAGCCTAAGTCATTTGTAAACCCTTTCTGATGCCAGCGTCTCTGCTATTAGCCCCACACTGTTTCTGTTGCTGCTCACTTGCTTACCAAAGAAACAAGGCGAGTCATATTATCCTGCGCCTACTGTCCAACACATACACAATGCTCCAACCACAACTGCAGCTGCCACGTCTGTGCAGACCACACGTCTTTACAGCTCTTCTGAAAAGCACAATATCCCAACTCCCCAAAAACCACAGTTCCCTCTGAGAAAATGACCATTTTCTTCTTTTCTTCTCCCACTGTTCCAGTTTCCAGTCAAAGTACAGGGTGGAAAGAGCAGAAAAGCCGCACATTACTCCTGTCTGTATGTGAACATGGTGAAAAATGACATTCTTTGTCTTGTAATTACATAATCACATCTATGTGTTTGTGTGTACACTTTATACTAGCTTTGTGGGTAGAGGTTAGGAGTGTGGTTGCAAGAGACTATGTGTGCGTGCGTGTCTACTGTCTGCAGACGGCAGAGCTGGCTGTATTATCATATGCACCGTAGTATAGAGTATGGTGTGGTTTGCCTGGAGACAGGGTTGTGTCTCTAGCTGCTTTCTTTGGGTTACCACGGATCAGGTTACCCCGCATTGCCTGCACTATTCCTGCAGCTCTTTGGGCCAATGAAGCCATTATGAGTGAAATGAATTATGGACTAGGCTTTCTTTATCCCAACCCCTCCCCTTGTTTCCCATCACTCTTATTTTCCTCTTTGGTGCAGTGTTTATTAACTTTACTTTTCTTCTGGGCTGTCCAACTTTCCTCATCATCCATTTTATCTCTTACTCTTATGCTGTCTCCTATTTTTTGAGGCACTCTGAAAAGAAACAAGAGAAAAGGACTGAAGAAAAGCATTCTGTCATCTTTTCTGAGCTGAACCATCCACTAACACTATCCTCAATGCGGTCTACTCCCTTGCTCACGAGCTGATGCAATGTTAAGGCCGGCCAGCAGCGCGTCCTCACTAATGACTTCACTAACCTACTTTATTCGAAGGTTCGATGTTGTGTTCCGCTCTGGACATGATGAAA